CAGCAGCCTGCCTCAGCCTCAGCCTCAGCATCAGCCTCAGCCTCAGCCTCAGTCCTCAGCCTCAGCCTCAGCCTCAGCAGCCTCAGCCTCCAGCCTCAGCCTCAGCCTCAGCCTGCCTCAGCCTCAGCCTCAGCCTCAGCCTCAGCCTCAGCCTCGGCCTCAGCCTCAGCCTGCCTCAGCCTCAGCCTGCATCAGCCTCAGCCTCAGCATCAGCCTGCCTCAGCATCAGCCTGCCTCAGCCTCAGCCTCAGCCTGCCTCAGCCTCGGCCTCAGCCTGCCTCAGCCTCAGCCTCAGCCTGCCTTCAGCCTCGGCCTCAGCCTCAGCCATCCTCAGCCAGCCTCAGCCTCAGCATCAGCCTGTCACCATTCGAAGTGTGGCCCGGGAATGGAGTTCTGGGAACTCGAAGAACACGAAGTGGCCTACAGTTGGCTCCGGGCATTCAAAATCATGCCCAAGAATGGAGTTCTGGGAACTCGAAAACCACGAAGTGGCCTACAGTTGGCTCCGGGCATTCAAAAGCATGCCCAGGAATGGAGTTCTGGGAACTCGAAGAAGACGAAGTGGCCTACAGTTGGCTCCGGGCATTCGAAATCATGCCCAGGAATGGAGCTCTGGGAACTCGAAGAACACGAAGTGGCCTACAGTTGGCTCCGGGCATTCAAAATCATGCCCAAGAATGGAGCCCTGGGAACTCGAAGACCACGAAGTGCGTTATGTTTGCTAAAAAAGTCCCCGGCACCCGTCCCCGGATCCCGCCAATTCCCCCTGGGGAGTCATGATGCTCTCTTTTGACCCTAATAGAAACCTATCAGTCTTCGCTGTGAGGTAATTACGCCAGCTGAAAAGCTGGTTTCCAAGACGGTGTCGACGGGGCCCAAGTGAGTCGAGGATCAAATTGTCTGGAAGTAATGACTCTGGGGAGGGACCAGTTTCTTCCACGAAAGCGAGCTCTGCGCAGCCTGCGGGCGACGATTGTGGACTGGGCAAGCGCGACCAAGCAACGAAGTGTTCCCCAGAAGAAATTCCCCGCAGTTGCTAAACTTGCAAATTCACACAGCCACAAGAACGCCACTGACAGGAAAAGACAGAGTGCGAAGACGTCCCGACGAGGACTGCCGCTGCATGCCATTCCCATGCGCCAGCACTTCACAAATTACACGTAGCTTCAAGCGATGGTCATACGATGTTGTCGCGCCGCAAGGACCCTCGCAAGAAACCCAACCCTCAGATTCCGCGCGCGATGTGTCACTGGGGAAACCCAAAGCCCCCTGAACGCAGCAGCCTCGCAACGCCCGCGGGAAGTCACCGCGCAACGCGCGCGGTAATGAATCCCCAAATGCGAACCCTGTCGAAAAGCGTCTGGCTTCTCGATTCGCGCCCCTACTGTACTGCGTCGGCTCAACCTTCGAATATTGTTGAGGGTGGCTAGCGTGGATCTTTTTGTTGGTCGGCGGTTAGGCAAGGATCGTTTGCGCTGGCGAACTGGGCTACACGGGGGCGCCGTTGCAACGAATTCGCCACCATGCAGGAGAAAGAAGAGGGGAAGGGTGAGAGAAGGATGATCGCACCAGTGAGCCTATCCGCATATGCCCACCCCCTGGGGGACACCGCCCGCACTATGAGTCGGGATGCCCCCCAGAGACGCGTGCGCTTGAGGGGCAGCGCACAGTGAGGTGAGAGGTAGAGCTATGCAGGTGCTGCCACCGGCCATTCCTGCACCATCGCACACAAAGGGTGGGGCGGCCGCAGAGCGGGAGGCGGCGTGGATCAACACGAACGGCCAGCTTAGCAAACACCAGACGGCCCGCCAGGCCTCTGGCCGTCGCGCGGGCTCGCGCAATGGGCCGCGCGGTGCGTCGTGCGGCGGGCTGCCTGGTGGCGTGCGCGGCGGGCTTCACACGCAGGGCTCCACCTACACGGAACGCCACACGCACAGGGCTACATACGCACAGAGGGTGGTTCTGCACATGGGGTTCCACACACAGAGGGCCCCACGCGGAAGTGATCAGGGAGGTCTACGCGCACGGGATGCCACATGGCATCCAGACACACATTGGGCTCCACACTTGAAGCTCCCCACACAGGTTTCCACGCTCATAGGGGTGCCAGACAGAGGGCTCCACACACAGCTCCACACACATAGGGCTTCACAAGCAAAAGGGTTCCACACATTATGTCTCCCATGTCTGGCTGATCGGGGTCCGCGCGCCGGAGTCCTACCAAGCTGCACGTGGTGCAACAAGCCCTGCACCGCTCCACCGAGAATTCACTAAGTCACAACCTACGCCTTGATACAAGGTCACGGTGGTGATGTGCACGGCGCAGACCATGCGTCCAGCGTCGCGCGTCGCAACGCCATGATTAATTGTTCCACACACCAACTACTGCTACTGATCCTCCTCCTTCTTCTCCGCCAGCCCCAAGATACATGGGGAAACCTCTGAGCTTCTGCCCGCAACCGACCGAATGTCTTCCAAAAGCCTCCGCCTCCACCTCCTGCCCCTCCAGCAACACCCGGAACCCTGCAACAACACAGTGTAATCTCACACCTTCCGATGACCGCCTGGCAACCGTTCAAATATTTGCCCCTCTCTACTCCTCTTCCCCCTCCTCCTCCTCCTCCTCCTCATCCTCGCCCTCCACCTGGCGCTTCGGGCAACGCGCTGTCTTGCTCCGCGTAGCCCCGCGCGCGCACGCGCGCGCGCGGGCGCGCCCAGCATTGTTCCGAGCGCACACATGAGGACCTATGTCCCATCTTCTGCCTCAGGCTCTGGGGCAGAGGGTGGGCGCCTCGGGGATCAGCCTCAGGACCCGAGGCACCGCCGAAGGGAGAGGAGAGAAACCTCGAGGGAGGAGGAAGGGAGGCGGGGTCCGAGGGACCGAAAGTCAAACAACCCGGGGTTTAGGTCACTTCGCCCCCCGACCACCACCTCCATAATGGAAGACGACCTCCACCTCCTCGCAAATGCGAAGCGAAGGTGCTGGTGGGGGGGCCAAATTATTGTGCACGTGTGGGCCCCTCGCCCAAGACAGGAGAGAGCCCAGGCGGCAACCGTAAGAAAAAAAAAGAGGAAGGAATCGGGGGGGGGGGCCCACATTCTACTACGAGGCGACCGAGCCCCCAGGGAATCCCAAGGAGGGACAAAGTGGCCCCCGCGGGGCCAGATGCCAGTCGTTGCGGTCGACCTCGCCCCTCCCGCGGCCGCCTGCACCCCCTAGGGTTTCCTGAGGGGCCGGCACGCTCACCGTCGAGGGGGAGTTCTCGACCCTGTTCTGCATGGGGCTGGTGTTGCTGTTGGGCGCGTTCGTGGTGTTGTCGTCGGGGTCCTTCGTGAGTCCCTCGTATGGGCATGGGCCCAGGCCAGGGTGGCCTGCGGCCCCGCTTTTTGCAGTTGTTGTCTGCTTCTTCGGACCGACCCTGTCCCCCGCCCTTCGGCGCCAGCGGCGCTGCGTGGGTACAGGGGGGCTGTCACCACCCTTCGGCGCAATGCGCTGTGGTGGCGAGCCGTCGTGGTCCTCCTCCTCGTCTGCGTTGCTCTCCCCTGCTTTCGGTTTGTGTTTGCCGTCGAGGAGGCCATGGTCGTGGAGGTGATCGTGGTCGATGTCGTGGTGGCTCTGGAAGTAGCCGTTGTTTCCACCCTGCTGGGTCCTGTGCTGTCTGGCTCCTGTGGCAGTGCTTTGCGACGCCCGCTCGAAGCTGGTACCCTCTGGGAGTCTCGTCTCCTGATGTTGGGTTGGCTGATCATGCTCACTATCTCCGTAGTAGCGGTCGTAGTTGGTCACGTATTCAGTTAAACCGCCTGTCTGTTGTGCGTCGTGGTTGCTTCTTCCGCGTGCTGCCGCCAGGATTCGTGTTGTGTCGTCGTCGCTGTCAGTGGTGTGCTGGAAATGTTTGCTGGTGATCAAGGGGCCGGTCACGGTGACAAGGTTGTGCCTCTTCAGGTGTTGCAGCTCGTGAGGGGCAATTGTCGTGGTCGGTCCGATGTTCATCCAGCAGGCCGTACCGTTGGCGATGCACATATACATGAGGAAGATGGCGTCACGTATCTTCACGTTGTCATCCATGATGATCGGTGAGTCTTTTCTGCTGGAGTCTCTTCTACCCCACGGGTGTTGTTCATCGCGAAGTCGTTTGCTGTTGTCGAGGCTCGGTATTGACTTCTTGTAGCATATGGCGTCAATTGTACCGTTCCGTACAGCTTCGTGGATTGCGTTGTTGATATGGTCGGGATTTCTGTCGTTGTGCGTCTGGCTCGTGTGGCTCGCTATGGTAAGTATTCGTACTCATCGGTGTTGTATGTTTGCTTGCTGCTCGATGCCGTTGACGATGCGCATAGTGCCGTCACTGATAGCATTCTGGTCGGTGATGATCAGGCTTGTCGCAGTCCGATGTGGCCTGTCGTTGCCTGCCTCCGATGTATCACCGTCGATTGTGTCGGGCCGCGTGTGGCGTAGGCGACGATCACGTGATTGGGCACCTTCCATCTGTCCTCGTCGTCCGTCTTGCTCTTCAACTGCTTGCGGTGACAGGGGAACTGGTGCTGGAATCATCGTGATGCGCTCGTCGTCCGTGCCTGTTCGTTGTGCGACTGGTGGTCCGTGGAGTTAGACGCAATGGCGTTCTGAGTAGTCTTCGGGTAGTCCTTTGTTCTTGTTGGTCCGCCGTATTCGCCGTATCTCCTCGGCTATGACGTCTGCTGCGTCGTCGTCGAGCCGCTTGCAAACTTCATGGCGAGTGATGCACACTGTCGGCTGGCGCACATGTGCTTTGACATTCGGTTGACCGTCCAGTACTCCTTCATACAGACCTGGCATGCAGTCCCGTGGATGTAGTTATGATATGTTCCTTCTGGCTGTGCTTCGCGCGCATCTGCTTTTGATACGCTGACTTGCCGTGCAGGATTTGCCCGCATTCGTAGCATAGGTACCTGCTGTCGTGTTGAGGCGCTTCGCTGCCAGGTGTCGGGATACTATTGTCGTTGCAGATGTCGTCGATGCGTCTCCCTCCACCTCCTCCTCCTATCATCAAAATCGTCATCGTCATCGTTGTCATCGTCATCGTCGTCATCATCACCATCATCAGCATCATCATGATCATCGTCATCGTCATCGTCATCGTCATCGTCATCGTCATCGTCATCGTCATCGTCCTCATCATCACCACCACCACCATCATCATCATCACCACCACCACCACGACCACCACCACCACAATCATCATCAGCAGCATCATCAGCATCAGCATCAGCATCAGCATCAGCATCAGCATCAGCATCAGCATCAGCATCAGCATCAGCATCATCATCATCATCATCATCATCATCATCGTCGTCGTCGTCGTCGTCGTCATCATCCTTCTCCTCCTCCTCCTCCCTCCCGCCCTCCCTCCCTCACTGCCTCCGTCCCTCCCTCCCTCTTTTCATCCCTCCTCTTCCCCCGCCTATCCTCCTCCTTCCATTCTCCCTCCATCCTCCCTGGAAGCCGACGACCACGACGACGCCGACGCCGCCGCCAGCAACGACCAAGAAAGGATCGAACCCCCTCCATTTGGGAGGTCGAACATCCGTCTATGACCTTGGAGGAAAAATCCACATGTTGGGAAGACATCCTTTCATAAAAAGTCGCACATACGTTAAGAAATCTTGCCATCAGAAAACTAGGGGCGCATTCCTCGTCGATCTGAGAGGATCCGAAGGTGCCCCAGAGCTTCTGTGAGTCTCTGGGGCCACAGGGAAATCACCCGGGCGGCGCCAGCATGGGACCCTCGGGGGGACATCCCAAAAAGAAAACGTTCCCGGGGCGCGCCGAGGAACCTGGGTGGTCTGGACTCCGCTGAAGAAAAGAAGAATCCTTGGCGAGGGGTTCGGGCACGGGGGCAACCCCTGCCCTCAAGTTCCGGAAGAGGAACGAACTCTCAGCCGCGGGGTTGCTGGCGCGCGGCGTCCCCCCCGTGCGCAACCAAAGGAAAAGCGAGAGAGGCCAGAGAAAAAAAAAAATACAGCATCCTTCTCATAATTAGTTGTTGTTCAAATGAGTTGTGCCAGTATTACTTGCACGCTCATAGGGGGGGGGAGCGTCGAGCCGGAATCGGCGATACGTCGCCGACAGATCGGCGATGGGCCCCCGACGGCGAATCCGCGGGCTCCTGGGCGTGGGCGGCGCGGGCCATGGGGCCCCCTTTCGGCGGTGCGTGGGCGATTCGGGGCCGATGCGCCCCCCTGAGCATATCATCACCACCATCATCATATCATCATCACCATCATCATCATCATCATCATCATCATCATCATCATCACCACCACCACCACCACCACCATCACCATCACCATCACCATCACCATCACCATCACCATCACCATCACCATCACCATCATCATCATCATCATCATCATCATCATCATCATCATCATCATCATCATCATCATCATCATCATCATCATCATCATCATCATCATCATCATCAGCATCAGCATCATCAGCATCATCATCATCATCATCATCATCATCATCATCATCATCATCATCATCATCATCATCATCATCATCATCATCATCATCATCATCATCATCATCATCATCATCATCATCCCCCCCTAACCCTGAGATCCTGGCGTTGCATGTTTTTCGCAACGGGCGTTCTCGCCCGACTTGTGGCCCTGGGGCCCTCGCAAATCGATGCGGCTCCAGAAATGACGCAGAAACATGGGTGGGGTCCAGGGGTCCGGGCGCGAATTTTTGCGATGTTGCACTTTTTCTGCAACGTCGGATCCCAGGGAACGCTGCCCCCTGGCTTTCGGGTCCTGGCTCGGCTCTCTGGCGGCCTCTCGGGGCGATCCGGGCACCTCTGGAACGGCCTCGGCGAGGCGCAGCCGCTGGCACGCATCCAAAGGCAGGAGAGCCGCCGGGAACCGACGACCGAAAACCTCGAAGCTCGAGTCTCGAGCTTCCCCATTGAAGCTGCCCCTGGGCCGATCCCCCCCCCCAACGTTGCCCCCGGGCCTATCCTCCCCTCCAGTGCTGCCCCTGCACCGCGGCAACGGCGGCGGCGACGGCGCGCGGGGGCTTCCTTGAGATCCGACGCTGCAAAAATTAGCAACATCGATCTGTCAGGGCCCCAGGGCCCGCATAATCGAGCGAAAGCGCCCGTTGTGAAACATTTGCAGCGCCAGGATCTCAGGCTTCTCGGCAGCCCCAGGGTTGGAAGCTGGGCGAGGGCTGGCAAATCCGTGGCTGCTAAAACGGTTTCCCCGGAAGAAAAAACACAAATTCCCGGAATCAAGCTCAGCGCACTAAATGGTAAACGGGCTGCTTCCCGGAAGAACGAAACAATTTCCAGGAGCTCTGTTTTAGCAGCCACGGGATTGCCAGCCTTCGCCCTGCTTCTGACGGGGGGTGCGCACGATGTTCGGGTGGTCGCAGCACTGCAGCACCTGCACCTCCTTCTCCGCCTCCTTCTTCGCCGCGGGCCCTTCGCGCAGCCCGCGGGGCAAGGGGGGGGGGCGAGGGAGGCCGAGGGGCAGCGCGGCAACGGCAGGGGGGGGCTGCTTCAAGGGGGGAGGAGGAGGAGGAGGAGGAGGAGGAGGAGGAGGAGGAGGAGGAGGAGGAGGAGGAGGAGGAGGAGGAGGAGGAGGGCACATCGACCTGGGATCGGCGATATGCCCACGAGAAGGACACCGATCATTCCTGAGCGGCGTGGGCCATCAGGCCCCCCTGTCGGCGATCCGTGGGAGATTGGGGGGTCGATGCATTCCCCCCTCCTCCAGAGCCTCACGTGGCCCCTGAGGGGAGGAGAGCAAGAAGGGAGGGAGAGGACCTCGAGGCTCCGGAAGCGAGGAAGGGGATGGGGAGGGAGGGGAGGGAGGGAAGGGAGGGAGGGGACCTCGAGGTTTTGGTGCGATCCCGGGCTTCGTGGCACGCCCTCGCCGCCACGGCCAGATTCGACTCGGAACGCCAGCCGCAGAGCGCCCCGGGGAGGCCTGGAGGTCCATCCGGAAGCCCGGCGGGCGTGGACGGGAGGGGCCTCTGGGGGGAGCGGGGGAGGAAAAGAGCGGAGGCAGGGGCGGGGCGTGGGGAGGACGCAGGGCCGAGAGTCGCGGCGCCTCTGCCAGACGCAAGCTGCCCAAGGCTCAGCTCACCGAGAAGAAAGGCTGCAATCTGCGTCGCTCACTCTCGCCCCCACTCCTCCTCCTCCTCCTCCTCCTCCTCCTCCTCCTCCTCCTCCTCCTCCTCCTCCTCCTCCTCCTCCTCGTCCTCCTCCTCCTCCTCGTCCTCCTCCTCCTCCTCCTCCTCCTCCTCCTCCTCCTCCTCTTCCGCCCGCCCGCCCGCCCGCCCGCCCTCCCACCACAGCACCGGGCCCCGAGGCCCAAGCACGGCTGAGGGTGGCCATCCGACGCACTATGAGAGGAGCGCCGATCGAAGCAAGAGGAGCGCCTGGTGTGCCCCACCCCCCCCGCGCCGAGTTCGCTGGATGCGCTGCGCGCGAGGGGCGCGCCGTCCGCTCCGTATCGGCCGTGGGTCAGGACGGTTGCCTCACGAGCGGCGTACGCCGTCGGTCGGAAGAGGTGGGCAGAAACACGGAGCGCAGGAAGGCGCTTGGAGGCAGAGTGGGCTTCCGCCCGCCGCCCAAAGGGGAGGGACGAGGGAGCACCACCCGACTCTCAAAGTAGGGAGGCGCCCAAAGTAGATTGGGATCTGGGAGTCCAGAGATGCCTACGTTCGTGCGCGGACACACCTCCATTTAATAAACCTCCTCTAGCGAAAACGGCCCAGGACCGAAACCGACGGACCTGGACCCGCAAGAATGACGGCCGCGACGCCCTCTCGCGAACCGAGAACGGCCAATTCGCTAATCGACGTGTCAGCGACCGGCCAATTCGCCAATTCGCTAATTCGCCAATTCGCACATTCGCTAATTCGCAAATTCGCCAATTGTCCACCGAGAACGGCCAATTCGCCAATTCGCTAATCCGATACTTTCAACGACTGGCGGGTGCACGTCCACGTCCGTGCCCTCGCGGCCTGGGCACGGCGGCGCGATCCCGCAGACACTCGATCTCGTTGACGCGCTCCGCGCGAGGCGTCCGCGCCCGTCCGCCCCGCGTCCCCGCGGGGCCGCGGCCGGGGAGCCCAGTCCGGGACCGCGAGGCCGTGGATGAGGACGGCTGGCGGCGCGCACGAGGGGGGAGGGAGGGAGGGGGGAGGGCCTCTTAGAAGGAGGCTGCTTCTTAGCAGGCGCCGGCCTTACATCTATAGACAAGGCCCGCGCCTTCTAAGAAGCAGGGGTGCTTCTAAGAAGCCCTCGCCCCTCGCCCCACCTCCCTCTGCGCGTGGCTGAGATGAAACGCGCAAAGACATACTAATACCAGATGTCCTCCTCTCGGAGGCGCACAACCGGCTCGAACATATAGTGACTCCCATGTCGTGGCATATCGTTTCCCGAGCGGTGTGGCCAGAAAGAGCCGGCTACGACGCATGTACCAGAAGATTTCTCGGTGCGCGCGTCGCCCCTGGGGGTCCGACGTAGACATAGTAGTAGCACGTTGGGGTGACGCCGAGAGGACACGTGTCCTGCACTAACCTTGACCAGCACTCGCGAGCAGACGAGACGCGAAGAGCACTCAGGATGGGATCCTGCCATGCACCGTGGGGGAGGGGGGGGGTCGCCGCGCGCAAGTCGTGCTGCATCCTGCCAGGGGCGGTGGGGGCTGGCCGTGCCGGCGTGGGCGAGCGGCCACCCCCAAATGGCGGAGTGCTGGTGCGCGACGAAAGAGGGGGAGAACGCACGGGGCACGGGGAAAGGCCCAGGGGATCGAGAACTTCCATCTTGGAGGTCGAGCCTCCATCGTGAACGGGGAACGCTCGCACCAGATGCCGAACTTGCAGTGCTGTCGGAAAACGGCACGATGCAGAAAATGGATGACGGAAGCACTGGGAAGGGATCGGGCTGGGCGAAAGGGGGGATAGCAAAGGGGGGGTTTGAGAATCAGCTCACGCAGCTGA